AGACAGACAGACAGACAGACAGCGAGGCAGGCAGACAGACAGGCAAACAGATTACATGTGTGTGTGTGCGTGTGCGTAAGCATGCATTTTTAGTTGTATACACTGCGTGCGTGTAGATCTGCATTTCCTTTGTGTTCATACTACCCTTCGTTTTGTCAATACACATGCATGCATACATGCACACATACATACATACATACATACATACATACATACATACATACATACATACATACAGACTGACATGCATACGTACAGAGGCATACCTACATAGAGACGTGCTCGTACATATCATGTGTACATACACCGATACGTGCATACATTGATACATACATACATACATACATACATACATACATACATACATGCATACATACAGACTTTCCTTCCTGGAACTTCCTGCGTACGTACATGCATACCTGCATGAGTAGATACATGCGAAAACCGTGGAATGAGTTCGCCTCGTGGCAGAACATTCGCTCGAAGCCGTCGGATCTCCTCGATCATGTCATCCAGGCTCTGACCTGCCGAGAAAGGTCGAAAATGGCACGACTGTGATCCACAGGAGTGGAAACATGATAGTAGCTGTCATACTGGCAACAACAATCAATTTTGCGGCATTCCACATGTTAATTACGAGGCACCGTTGCTAGTATTCTTGCCATCTGTGGTCCGAACACACGCTACTCTCATGAATTGACATGTACGGAAGGCAGCGTGGAGCTAGGGCCGAGCCTGCCGGCGTCTCCAAGCTTGGCGTCGCATCTCTGGCCTCGCAGGCATCAGGGGAGTGATTGTTGAATCGACGGCGATGACAAAGGTACACTTGAGAAATTGAGCTACTGTCATGGTGCATGTTAGAAGGAGCCGCTCAGTGCTTTTGTTTATGGATATGGGATGCTGCTGGGTGTGAAGGCACATGCTTGGATCTGATGAAAGTCCTCCGTACTACGGGCTCCTAGAAAAAATTGCGATGTTCGTGATGACGAAAATTTGGCCTTGGCTCTTGGGTGGAGCGAAATGAATTTTCCTTGGTCCCCCTCCCCGACAACATCACTTACAGGATGCTGTTGACTGAACTTGCATATGTTATATCTCACCGAGGGCTTGCACAGCTGCTCAGATCTGCTACTCTCTTGCACCGCATTGTTTCTGTGCGGCAGGCTGCAATGCGCGGCTACTGAGACAAACGCTAAAAGGCCTTGCAAGTGCATCTTAGTCTTCACATCATTCATGGAGTCCGCCAGGCTGCAGTAATTCCGCTGCGGCTACTTTCTGGGAACTGGAAGGCATTGCCATGTGCAGGATTGTGGATAGCACAGGGCGTTTCGAGCCAGGCCTGGGCTTGAAACCCTCCCGGCCGGGGAGACCTGGCGCGGTGCAGGTCGAGACAGGACTGCGAAGGAAGCACAGAAACGAATACTGGCAGTGAAGTAAAAAAAGATGACTCAGAAGTCACAACACAATCGACAACAAAGTAAGAAGACACAACAAAATGGATGAAAATATCTCCCTGGCCTCCGCCGCATGGCTGCCCCAAGCGGCGTCACCTCTGCATGGTGGCTTGGCCGCGGCTTGGGCGCATGCAGAATCAGGGGAATGGCTTGGGGGGGAGGCGGCCTGGAGCTTAGCCCAAGAAGCAAAGATGCGACGAAGAATCCCCTGGCGCTACCTCGTGGCCCATCCTCCATGACATGGAAACCAGCCAGGCCTCCGAAGCGCTGTACTCACCGCGTGCTCATTGCGAGGCTTTAAAGATGCTAGACATCCCGGCAATTGAACAAACGACCCCATTGCCACGGGAAAGGGCCTTGTCGCCCTGTCCTTGTGACCGGCTGCCATGCAGGCTCAAAGCCTATGCTATCTGAATTCCTGTGGCTTGAATGTATCAGGCGACGGAGAGAATCATCACGGAGATCCGAGGGCATTGCACATCAAATAGGAGCCCACGACAGGTAAAGTCAGGGTCTCTTCAGACACTCGGTGCCTGCAAGGCCTGAAAGACCGAAAACCACAAGCTTCCGCTCTCACAACTCGGACAAGCCAGGCGAGGCTGTGGTTTCCGACTCTCACTCTCGCACACGGCTGGCAAGGCTCCAGGCTGTGGTTTAGGGTTTTTGGCTCTGCCAGAGGTTTCCATGTTGAGCTGGTTTCGATGGGGGCCTTTGCGCATGTCGCTTTAGTTGTAGGCTATGGGTTTCTGTGTCATGCGGATGTGAGCACATGACAGTGTCGGCGAGCTCCCGTAAAAGCATGCCAGATGAGGATAAATCTATGCGCACAACATATCCGAACCTGAAGCGCTCGACTAAGAGCAGCCGTGATCAAAACGCAAGTGCACACGCACCAAAGAAGGCCAGCCAGTTTTTGATGTTCTGACTACAACAACTATGTCTACACAGGGTTACAGGCAAGGGCATCGAGTTCCCAAATCCTGCGTGAAAGCCCAACGCCCTGAATCTCACGAATCCGGCACCCTGCGCGTCTGCTTTCTTCACCCAAGAAGGCGGACTCTGTCGGTGGATTGGAGCACGATGACCACTGGACCACGGCATGCGAGACTCAGACACTCTGACTCTCGCTGCTCCCCGACAAAACTTATGCAATTCATCCATACGGCATCGCAGCATGTGGAGCTCTGACTTAATTTTCCGGTCCCTCCACCTCGGCCACGAGCTCAGCCTGCAGACTTTCGGTGAGGACAGGGGCACTGAGAAGTCTCCCTTTTTTTGAACCCAGTCTCTGATCATCAGCTGGGGCTTCTCCCTTATTCCACCAACCTCGCCTGACTCTCTCGCTCTGTAGCTAGCTGCCAACATGTATGCCACACAAGCTCGCGCAAAGAAGTCGATGAGCCACATGAGCACATTTTGCAGCACACCGCTTGAAACTCGAAACTCGAAAAGACATGAGCTCTGCAAGTGCAAGTTGCCAATGCGCAGCACTCCACGGGAAGCCTGTATTAGGCCTTTGCCCCGCTTTTGCGCGATTGCTCAGCAAAGCTTGCAATCAACGACAGGCTCTGTTCCTGCTGATGGAGCCGCATGTAATTCGATAAACCACTGGCCGGCAGATACTGTTGGAGTGTGGAGATGTGGTGAACCACGCCTTCCGGGTAACACAGGATACTGCATCTCCACCCACATAGGTAGATCTATGGACTAGGGATTCCGACTGCATCTGCCTGTCTTTGCCAAGGACTCGGACTGATCCTGGCATCGACTCGTTGTCCCTTCTGCAAACAGCACCGAAATCACAAGTGGGCATGAAGACCGCTCGCAGACATGCGGCAGCTGTGGCCGAAATCATCTGAGATCCAAGTCTTCGGGCTGAGAAAATCCTTGAAATACTTCGGACCGGTCTCTATAAATGCCCACGACAATGCCTACGCAGAAAAAAAAGGGGAGCTTTGCCTACTGGCATAACCCCAGTCCGTAGTGATGCATAAAGCCTCGCCGCCTTGGCGGCAAGTGTACACTCTCGTCTCCATTGCAGATCCTTGCAAGCGGGACAGATAAGTTGCAGTCCACACTTTCTGAAAGGAAAATGCCAGGGTAATGGTGGCATTCACTGTGCAGGACCTGTCAAGAACAACGGGTCACAAGTGAAGATTCATCGGAGGCCCATGCCTCCCATGCCTCCCAATGTCTCCCAGCTGCCGCCGAGAATCGGTCTGCACTTCGATGCCATCAGACTCAATGCCTCGCTGCCGCACGCTATAACACAATATAATATATAAAGACAAGTTCTAGCTTGGGCTCTGCCCTGTGTCTCTGTGCGCTACGAAACAAAGCCCGATCAGCGCAAGAACGAACAACACGAGCTTGCCGGACTCTTCCAAGCCACGTCATGGCAGCACTGAAGCTGTCGCCAGGATGCTGCGGTACTGGAAGCTCACCACCTGCCATGCGAGGAGGCTTAGCTCAGCGTAGCTCAGCGTAGAAACCGTTCTGGGTGAATCTTTGCTCCGAGCCTTCCGGATTTACTTCACTTCCTCGCGTGTACTCGGCTTTCATGAGGTGTGCAATTTCCAGCCTTGCCAGGCATGCCCGCACTCTGACTACATTTTTTTCACAAGGGACTCGACTGCTGCCCTTACTGCCCAGCTTGACCCACTCTGACTACATGATTGCTCGAATCATTGGGGCATGTGGGGACCATGCGCTACCAGGAAAGGGCAGTATCAACATCATTGACCGTCCAGGGCTTCAGATTCAGCTGAGACTTTCTTCTTCCTCTGGTGAACAACTTGAACCGAAGCTCCCCTGCAGACTGAGGGTTCGGTCACCTTCCAATTTGCATCCCAAGCAGCATGTCGGGATGATCCTCCATGTGGTACGTAGATGGGGGAGAACAGCGGTCGATGATCTCTGCAGCTTCTGGCCACGTCATCGTCGCGGCGATGTCCACCGTCTGTGGGGAAGGAGAGACACAAACAAGCAGCCTCTGCACTCCCAGGGCCGATGATCTTGGGTTAGGTTATGCAGTTATGCCCAATGGATTTACCGTACCAGGTCTGGCTTGAACTCAGACTTCGATGGCTGTCCGAAAGCACGGTCACCAGCAGAATTACATCCAGATCCGACTGCAGATGAACGTTTCAATAAATCTATATAGTCGAAATGGGGTAGATTCACGATCAGATTAAAAGATTGGAGAGTAGTGGATCAAGTCTTGAGCACATCGCCGCCAGATTGCCTGGCCTTGCCCGTCTTTTGACGAATGCTGTCGACAGACTCGCCGCGCTGGATGGCTGCGATAGTGTCCTCGTCCTGGGCATCCCCTAAGCCGTAACTTGAAGCTACGGAGAACAATCCGAACTGCATACAGTCAATGCACCGGTCACGACAAAAGCTTGGCGCACGTGTGCTTCGAGGTCTTGGACACTGTGCCCACCTGTGCCCTGTCCCTAAACTGCAGCCCAAGCAGTCCTCCACTTTTTTAGAGGCGCAGCAAAGCTGCCAAAGAAGCGTGCCGAAAGTGCCGAACCTGGGGGTCAAGCAGGTCGTAACACACAGCCGCTGGGAAGCACATCATCAGACTCAGGCTCGGGACGCATGAAGCGAGCAAACTACGCAGTGGCAAGATGTCAGCAAGTTGATGATGAATCGAAATCCTTCGAGTGGATGAGCAGCCAAGGCACGTCCCCTGAAAGGCCCATACCAGCCACCACATCACCCATAGTACCAGCATGAAGCTAAGCCATGCCACGAACATCCAGGTACTTTCCTCAGGGAATTTGGATGGACGTTGCTCGCTAACTTCTGGGAGCAGCGCTGATTCCCCGTGCCACTCCCTATGGAGCGAGGCCCGAACGGGTCCCTGCACTGCACAAAACTTAGGCCCAGGTCCTTGGTCAGTCTCGGCCACCAGCCCTGCAGGTGCTCGCTGGCCGCTGACTCGCCCTCCGCTATGAACTTTCCTGCCAACAGAGACCCCTTTGATGCAAAGCTCGGGAGATAGTCCAGAAACCCCTGGGATGCTTCGAGATATCATCGCATGGACGCCTATGTCACCACCAACCGGATTGGATGGGAAGACGCAGGGTTGGCCATACCTGCAGGCCCAATTGCCCATGCAATACGCAAGCTACTCCGGAAGCGACCATGGCAAGCGCGACAAACACTTCCCAAAGCCATGCTGCATGAGGATGGCGAAAACACAGTGTAGAGCGATTGCATACAACCTTGGTTCACGCAAGTGCAGCATAGCATAGCGCAGCAAGTCGCAAACCGACACGCTTCCCGAGACATGCGCAGAAACAAGACAGCTTGACGTTCAGGGCCCATCACACACAGGCCGGAGTGCAATTTTTCGGAAGACTCCTTCGGCAGCAGGGCATCGTAGGAGGGGGGCCGCTTGGAGCACCAGAGAAGCGCGACCTTGTCCGCCCAGTACCTTGGACATTCTGGCTGCTGACACTACTGCACAGCTGTTGCTTACAGGTTACATGCCTTCACTAGAGTCCTCTCCGAAGAGAAGCATGTGTCAGAGAAAAGCTTGCACAAGTGTGCTCAAGGGCCCACTGATGTTAAGAAGTTATTGATAAGTGACACCTTCGCTTGGGGCGCTTCGAGCACCTTCGACTTTTTGCTGCCGGGCTGCATGAGGCACATGTAGCCAAAGGCGAAGAGATAAAGAAGAGGCATCCCGGCCTCGCGGACAGGAACAACAAAGTTCACCTCCCCCAAAAGCAAAGTATCGTTGCGCCAATGATTCGTTCAAGAATGTGCCGCCCAGAGGCCGAGTATGTCAGTGCAACAAACACGGTGGTGAGCATCTGGGCGTACCTGCGATGCGTGCTCATCCATGGCCGTCTGACTCGAGTCGCTTGGGTGCAGCTGGAGTCGAGCGGCTTTAGCTTGATGTCAAACTCCGGATTGGTGTAATACCTCAGGACTTGTCGTGGCTTTGGTCTTGGCTGGTGGCTGAGACGCGGTTCTGACTAATCAGGCCGAGCTGCGCGATGAGCTCCGAATGGTGCTTCACTCTGCCTGGCTCGTCGCAACACATCGGTTTCAGCATCCAAACAGTCACGCTCAGTGACTCGGACTGCTTCGTCTGCAACAGAGCCGTGGATCCTGCATCAGCCCCTCGAGCCTCTGCAACATCGTCGCATCAACCAGGTGACAAACATGTTCCTGAGCAAGCCGGAAGGCCCAGGTGTGCTTGCAGTCTAGGCATCTCTTGCAGGAGACAATGCAACACTCCAGGCACTTTGACACCTCGCGTCGAAAGAATGCAGGGTGCAAGTCACTCGAAGAACAGCAGCAGCCAAGCGTCGCTATTGTAACTGCAGGTGGCACTACCTTCACGAAAGCACACACTGAACAAGCGCGCTCTTGAAATCCAGGACCCGTTCCAGCAGAGATGCCATGTTCAGGAGCATGTTGACCATGATGGTCGCTCCCACAACGATGTACCTCAGGAGCGGGCGAATGCGATTGCACTCGTCACTCGAACCAGCTTCCGGAAGTTACTCATGAATCAGGCCGTGCTGCCAAGCGCGTGTCAAGTCCGCAAACGGTCCCGCGAACAACCAGGTGCCGATCAGCGGGATGGCCTTCAGCACGTCTCGCCTTGCACTGCTTACCGTTTGCTCGATGCGACTCTGTTGTTACAGGCCGGGTTCGGCATCCCCCTTTTTGCGCGAATCTTTCTTCGGCACGTCTGGTCCACTCGAGCATACCCCGGTCTTGGCATTTTGGGTGGTCGGTGGTGCCTTGCAACACAGTACGTAATGAGCAGTGATCAAATCCTTGGCCAAGTGCCGGGATGATGACTTGTACCAGTCTTGCGGCGGTGGTTGTGAATCCAGCGGCCGACATCTGCAGTGAGACTTGTGGAGGCAGGCTGCTGGCCTTGTCTGAAAGCAGTATGCCTCCCTGAAACCATCATGGCCTTCACGTTGGAAGCTTCTTGTACGATTCTTGCTTGGCTGGCTCGGCAGTCCGGGCACCCAGCGTCCGCGATGTCGCGCTTGTACACCACATTGAGACCCCAAAAAGGAAGATAGGAGAAACCGGTCCAGACTCCAGAGCGACACTGGCAATCGCAGCTTCTTGCGAGGCAGCTTCCGTCTTCCCGACTCGCCAAGGCCTCAAAGTCCAAATCCTACGTCTTCGGACCCTTTGCATCTCGTGGAGGTGGACGGGGACGCTCTTGAAATGCGGCATTGAACCCATGCTCATCGCTCGATGCAGGCTTTAGCCGGCACTTCTCGTCTGGACTGGGGCGAGGCAGCCTTGGCAGCTTGGGCATTTCATTGTAACACCCTAACCCTCCAGGGGCCTACTAATTATATAGGGTACTAGAGCCCCTGGGGCCCTATATGGTAGGTACCTGGGTTGTTAGGGACATAATACAGTACAACAATATGATAGACGTGCTTTCGCGCAGGGTCTGTCGGTATGAATCGCTTGTACTACCACTAACTCATATGTCAGCTGGGGCTCAATCGAATCCGCCCTGGGTTTGGCAAGCGTGTCCAGGGCACATTCAAATGGTCCAGGAATGCCTCCATGGAGCCTGCACACGAGTTGTTGAAATCAACACTCAAGGCAGAGGCGTGTGCGGCCTTTCAACTCACTGGTGGACCATGGCTTTCGAGAGGAACCTCGCCCGGTGATGATCTCCAGACCTGTACAAGCAGAATCTCTCCAACAGCTCTTGAATACTCCGACTTCGCCGCCTGGAGGGTGCCGGCCAGAATTGTACCCCACATGGCCAAGCCACCATCGCACCTACTAGACAGCTCCCACCTCTCAGGTTTTCCCTCGTAAACCGGAACAAGCCCCATGCCAGTTGAGCTTGAACGGCCTGGATATTGCCAGGGCACAGCAAACTTCGCGGCACCGGCTGAGAGGTCGTGCAAGTCCAAGTATTCCCGGCCCTTGGCCAGAAGCCTCGCAAGATCTTGAAACACCCTGGGGACGTCGTTCCGCCCCGGCGATCTCTTTGAGACAAGCGGCCGGGGATAGGCGACTTGCATCGCGGACAAGAAGAGTGCCTGAGTTTGAGTGAGCTGCGTACCAGAATACCTTGACACAAATCAACGGCTCGGCAGCAACCGTCCTCCCCACCCTCCCTCGTCCCCCCACCCTTCTGCCTGCCTGCGGACACTTTGATTGGATGGGTGGTGCTACAATGGGGGTGGGATTACAATCCAACTGGAAAAAATCAGGAAAAGGCAAGCACAACAGGCGACAGAAAGAAACACAACATGAGCAAGGGGGACAATGCAAACCCGCACCCCTAACTGAAACGCTCCTTGCTGAGAACCACTACCTGCAAGGGCTGGGGTCTGCGACACCTCCCCCAACCTGCTTCCGAAACCAAGCGTACCTGTTTTGGAACCTCCATCTTGTGACCTCGGACCCGGAACGGACCGCGAACCGAGCCGCTAGAACCGTGCCTCCAGTTCACATCGGTCGTTGGAACCGAACCCAACCCAAGCAAATCTGAAGTTCGTTGGAGCGTGTAGAACCCGGAATAAGTGTTTGGGAGGTAATTTGTTCAACCCCACCGTAAAGTGCGTTCGCAATACACAAGTACAACCAAGTAAGTACACATGCACACACAATCCGAATGCGCATGCCTGCGCATGCATTTGATATGTCATTCCTGTTGCTGTTGGTCTGTCTTTCGGTTATTTGCTACAGATGCGGTAAGGCCTTGAATGTTGTGGTGTGTTCTTGGTTGTTTTCTCCGGGGCCTTGGACTGTTTGCAGACTGACATCCACAACAGGCAACCGGTGTTGAAAGCCCAGGGCCCGCGCCTCGCCCTCTGCATCGCCAGCAGCTTCCAGCACAGCATTGAAAGTAGCCGCATCTGGACGAAGGGCATGGCTGTCGAGTTCACCTCAGCCCAAAGGTGTCAAGACATCTTTGAAGGCAGCCGCTACGACTTGCAATGCCTTCATGAGGAGCAGATGAGGAGCAGATTGTTTGCATGCATAGATGGGTGGATGCATACGTGGATGGACGGACGGATGAATGGCTGTATGGATGGATGAATTCATGCATGCATGCAGGCCTGTGCGGATGAACCTTGATCTAGCGTGGGCATGTACGTTCTTATTCACGTATTTCCAAAAGACTTGCAGTGACTTGCACTCAACCACTGACTTTAGCCCAGAAACGGAAGAGTGCCATGGTCCTGTGCCACTGCTGACCGGTCTGGCAAGCTGCCATTGTCGCATTGAAGCTGATCAAGTCTGGCTGCATGCCGCTCTTCTTCATGTCCTCCAAACTTTCAAGTTTCAGAGACCCCAAGGCGAAAATGCAGGCAGAAAAACATATCTATCTGTGTGTAGACGTATACAGGCAGATCCAGATACAGTATACAATGCATGCATGTATGTATGTGCATGCAAGTGTGGCTGTATATGTAATCAATGTAAAGGCATGTGCATGTCCGTATGCATGTTTTGTGTGTGTCTCTGTACGTATCTATGCATGTAAGTCTGCATGCCTGCATGCATGCATGCATGCATGCATGCATGCATGTCTGTATGTAGGGTGCTCCATACACATATCCATGCGCACATCACAACATATCACCACAGCTTCTACTACACGCATGCGTCCGTGTGTGCGGCTGCACTTTTTTGACTATATGTGCTGATTCATGCATGCCTTCATGCATTCATTCATTCATTCATTCATTGACTCATCCGTTCGATCAGTCATTGAGTCATCCAACGTTTCACTCATACATCAGTCAGTCAGTCGGTCAGTCAGTAAGTCCGTCAGCCGGCCAGCCGCAAGGTAGGCAGGCAGGCAGTCAGTCAGTCAGTCGGTCGCTAATGTCCGCCCATCCTTCTCGACTATGCTGGATTGCTGCATTCACTGATGGTTGGACCCCATTGATTACTACTGTCTGTTTCTTCTGCACCCAGTCCACCTGTTCATAAACACATAGACACAGACATGGACAGGCGCACTGCATGCAGGATGCATATATGCAGGGACAGTATGCTGAGACGGGCTTCCTCCAGCAACTGCACGGCAGCTGGCCAGCAACTTCCCCGATCACAGGCACTGATGGCCGCATTAAACGTGAAGCTGTTCGGCGTAACCTTTGAGAAAGAAGCGTGGGGAGATGGCGTCTGTTGCAGGAATGGCACAGGCTTGATCTGAGGAGGTCACCGTTTGTGCCACACTCTGCGCAAACAGCGCCAGTGCATGGGACCACCGGGAAGCTTTGCCGCAAGCACTGACAGAGCTGCAGTAGGTGATGCTGTCCGCATGCCTGGCTCCTGCAGCCAAGTCTTTTAGGGATCGCATGACATAACGGCGAGCAATGGCAGGGCGAGACAGACAAGGAGAGAGAGAATGAGGGAACGAAAGGAAAACGTAAAACAGATGAAACGCATTGAAACGTAGTGCAAGGTGTCTGGCTTTCCCCTACGGTCGCCTGTCTAAAACCAACTACGCAGCTTCCCGGCGTCAAGCAACGTTATTCCACGTGAAAAGATGCACTTCCTTTCGGCATTTGCACTTTCGGCCGATTCGGCACGGGTAAACGAAATTGCAAGTCTGAGGGGTGAGCCGTAGACGCAATAATGGTAACCGTGCTGTGGGTATGTGAGTCATTGTCTTGACATGTCCCGATCTCGGAAAACCCCCTTCAAACTTAGGCTCTTCATTGCAATTGCGCAGGTTTTCGGCAGTCGTGCAGCAAGTTACTTTCCACATAGATATCCCACAGGCGTCCTCTTTGCAAAATCTGATCGAATAGTTGCAAAGCCTCGCACCAGAGACTGCCACGGTCGCAGGCGCTCAAGGCAGTCGAGCAGGTGATCGCGTTGGGAGGAACTTGCCTCAGCTCTAAGACTTCCTGAAAGGACACGCCATCTCATCATTGAGGGCCAGTTCCGCCCCGTGAAAGCGAACCAAGCGCCCAAGCAGATACTTAGAGCTCGCTAAGCCAGGCATGGCTCAAAACCAAGCCTTCACCAAGTAGCAGCAGACAAAGTGATCAAATGCGACATCCTTACTCGCCTTCTGCTGTTACAAATCCAAGAAGCAACGCATTCATATCTTCGAAAAGCAGCAGCGCGCGCTGCCACCTCGCAAACAGCAAGTGGCGCTTCAGACTTGGACATCTGCTCTTCAACTTGTAGGGATGCGGACCCTGGATCTCTAACCAGGTGGCTTGTTTGAGGTCTTGACAAGACACGGCCCTGCCTAAACAAACCCATGTGCCAAATGTCTCAACAACGATCGAGATGCTGCAGGCTTCCCGAGATTGCATTCATTGCACTGCTGAAAAGGACTGTATCCTGAGCCGGGCAGTCACAAAGTGAGGTCACAGCAGTTCAAGCCCATTGGCCCATTCGGCATTCGACCAAAGCGGGTGAGACTGCCGACATCAACGACCAGCGCTTTGGCGGAAACACCAGGTCTCGCTGCCAAGTAGCGGCACGCAGCACCGGCAGCATGCTCTCGAGAAGAGCCAGCGCGTCTAGCCAAATCAGGAGATCACTGGGCTTGAACAAAAGGAAAACTACAAACCTGACCTCAGCTTTGAGGTGTCCCCAAGCAATTACAGAATCGACGCTGGCAAGCTCTGGGTGCGGAAGCCTTAGGAGCTTGGAACTACTCTGCCGCCCGGGGCACTGGCCCAGCGGCGCGCTTGTCCAAGGCCTCGGAGAGCTGCACTGGTGCCCACAGCGTCCGGGCGCAGTGACCTGGAATGCCGGATCAGTCAAACGTGTCTCGCACATTCACCGAGCATCTGGCATCATTCGGCCAAGGCGCCACCGCTGCATGGCCATTAGCAAGGCCAAGCTGCGTTCCCAGCGAGCAGCGCTTGAGCATGCGCTGATGGCACTGTTGAATGAGATTGCCTGGTAGACCACTGGGTACCATGCTTCTGGAGCCTTGTGAGTGTTTACACGTGCGTGTCTGCCAGTCAAGGAACATCCGGCTGCACGCCAGCTTCGCCGTCACAGAGCTCCTCAAGCAGCCGCAAAGCTCTTTGCCACTGGGCCGATCTCTGCATTGCTGCAATAGTGGCATTGTGGAGGCATGCCTTAGCCGCAGCGGTGTTCATGAAGGAGACATGTAAAGTCCGAAGCAAAACGTCGAGCAGCCTCGCACGACAAGTCGCATCAGGATCCAGCTGAGCCTTTGCCGAAGACAGCGCAGCAAGAGCTTGTTGCCAGAGCCTCGCCCTCTCACAGGCATTTATCACCTGAGAGGCCAATCACGGCTCAAGCTTCGGAAGATGTCTCAAAACCCTCGATGCAAGTCCAAGTCGCTGCCGTGTAGCTGATCACATCCGGCGCGGCTGTCTGCTGTGCCATCTCCGACAAGAGCACAGTTGCCTGCGAGCAGTATGTCACTATGATTATGACCGAAAGACATGTCCTCTTCTATGGGTTGTGTGCTGGAAGACCAGGAAGATCAGAGTCTGCACTGGGAAGGGAAGGAAGCATTTCCAACGCATGAGCGAAGTCACATGCCCCAGACCCTCGAGTCCAGGCGCTAAGGCCCTAGGCCAGATCCTACAGCTTCTCAAGCTCAATCGGCAGCACCCCTGCTAGTACTCATTGTAGCGAACCTGACCTCCTTCCAGCGGTATGCAGCAGCACAAGCACTGATGGTGCAATTGACCGTCACGGAATCTGCATCCGCGTGCCACGCTTCGGTAAGCAGTGCAATGGCTTCCTGCCATTGTTTCTTCCTCGGACGGGCTGGTTCAATTCCAGACGGCATGCGCCTGTGCAGTCCATGCTGAGGCACACGCCGGCCGTAATCTTGCAGTAGATTGTGACAGCGACGGCGCATGCCAGCAGCCATGGTAAGCCGGGATGGAGGAAACAAACTGAGGCCCACCAAGCTAAGGCAGGGCTGCTTGAATGGCAACCGCAATGGGAGATTGGGTGGGTAGGCGTGACTTGGCATGATCCCCTTACGCGTCCATCCCGGTGTGAACCGCACTGGCTGCAGAACATAGCCGTTTCAAAGGTCAACACCTGCGGCCCATCCAGCCATTGCTGAAGCACACATCTAGCAGGCAAGTCGCATGCCGTCGGGCCCGTATGTGTTCACGATGAACAAGACGAAACCTTGAATGAAGCACGGCATCTTGTCGAGTTGCTCCCGCCGACACTGATTCTGATGCGACTACCAGTTTGATTAAGGCCCAGGGCCCAGGGCTCAAGTGCAGCTGAAGCTACCTGTGTTCAACGTCTGTGCCAGAAAGATCTTCGTCATCATGGACTTGTTGAGCGAAGTCAGGGACAAAGGTCGCTCAAAATATGCCATGGCGATCAACACCTCGGCTCCGAGGGCATCCACAGCTCCACAGGCCGAGGCGCCTGACAGCCAAACCCAAAGACCAAGGGAAATAGCTAGCAGCTACCACCCCTTCTTCCCTGAAGTGGAACAGAACATGCAGACGGGCAAGCAACTCTGCCCGCGAGTGCCTCACACTCCTTTCAATCTTACGACGAGACCTTTTCACAAACTGGGCCGCATATTGCAGAACCAAGTTGATCAGTACCACAACGCAGGAGGCGAGTGTCATGATGCCTCGGGCCGGGTTTTCCGCGGTGCAGGATTTTCGGGGGGAGTTGTGGGTGGGTGTGCCGCTGGGGCAGCGGGAGGAGTGCTGGGCAGGAGCTTTGATCTTCAGGGGCCACAGGGAAGTGTGGAACACGAGCCGGAGTGAGCCGGGGAGCCCCCGAACGGAAAATACTGATCTGACCGCTGCGCACAACCGGCAACCATCTGAAGCCAACGACCAGCTTTTCGCCCAAGAAGGAAACCAACCCTCAACAGCCTTAACTTGACTACAATCCTCAAGAAAGCCAACCTTCTCAAGCTTGACAAGTCAGAACAAGACGCACACATACACAAACCACTCTAAGTCTAGGTCTAGGTGAGGGATGCTTTAGTCAGACGCGTATTTTTGTTGCCTGGGGCGTGGGGTCCATGACCAAACGCCAAGGCTCCGATCCCCCGCGCTGTCTTTAGGAACCAAGGCGTACAGGTGCTGACGAGGGAAGTATCCTCCACCAACTTCGCCTCGCTCTCGGCGAGATATGGACGATGGAATTATAGATGAAAGCCCTGACTGTTGACATGACAAGCGAGGATCTTGGTGCTCAGTCGGCTGCAGGTGAAAAAAGCCTATAACTGAGGTTGCTCCTCAGATATGGCTTTCTAGAGTACGAATCAAGCTCGAACCGTCTACGGGTTTGTCGAGAAAGGGGAGCATGCATAGGATTCAGTCAATGTCACAGAGTAATGCAAGTCTACGCAATTTGAACGCTGTAGTGCTGCTATATATCCCATGCTTTCCATGCAATCTTGTGAAACCTCTTGGCGTCCTCAAAAGGTTCATGCCCTTGTTCTCCAGGAATGATCAAGCGGTGTTTGGGCCAAAATTAGAGTCTAGGCTGTTAGGGTTGTATGGCTTTTTGGGTGGACGGCTTCGCGTTTACTCTCGCGCTCGCAGAATGCAGGCAAGGCGAGAGCCTTTCGGGTTGGGGGTTTGCCAAAGCCTCCAAGGCACATAGCCCTGAGATTCGCACCAGCAGTTCAGAATGTTGCCGCCCTCTGATTCCGCAAAGTCTTTGGTCCAGTTGGCCGCAGTGCTCACCTTAGCACCCAGCCGCAGACCAGGAAGCGGACAGACCACAACGGCGTGCAGTCTTATTCACCCAATTTCTGCTTCGTGGGATGATGCCACACCCACACACATGAACAGACTGCTGCATGATGTCTCTCGGAGCACTCTCTACAATGGCTTCAGCCAAGGCAGCCAAGCAACAATGCAAATATAGTCATCTGCTGGCGCACCGGAGTAGTTCGTTTCAGGATCACACAACTCGTTGCCGATGTAGCCTGGTGTGGATAGCATGGAAGCACTCTGGCGAAATCGTGGTCGCCACCCCAGCAACTGTCACAATTCAGACCTCGACCTGCAATGCTGAAAGGGTGCTCAACTGTACGCCGGCTTCTCTTTTGCCGTACACAGTTGTCACATATATCAACGCCTGCCACTGGAAAGCAGAGGGATCAGCTTTCGATGAACAAGTGAAAGCAAAAAGCCAGCTCAGAGCGTGAAGGAACTGAGTGTGTGACCAGCGAAATCGCCAAGATGATGATGAAAGTGACAAACCTGAATGCCAACACTAGCCGAAATCTGAAGTGTTCAATCTGGTTTGGCGGCACTTTCCTAGAAAGCCTTTGCACCAAGATCCGCAGCGAATGTGCTGCCGCTGCGCCACGTCAAGGAAGATCTCATCTGCAGTTACTTCAGCATTCTGCCAAGGAACATGCAAAGCTGCCTGCCGGACAGATGCAAAGAGAAAAGCCAGAAACACTCTTCAGATGTAACGTCACCAATCTTCCGGTCTCTCTTGGTCTGATCCGCCTCAGAAGTCGACTCCACCAGGGCGTATCCTGGTTCTCCCAAAGGAGATCTGAAGGCTGGGGCGCTTCCCGAACTCGCAACGCCGCTCCTGTCAGTCTCGGCCGGCGAAAACTTCTGATGGGGTGCACAGAAATGCGTGTAGGAAGATGCCAGGGATCCAGTTTCCGCTGGTTGACCAAGTCCCGCACCGAAAAATCGTTTCGAACTTGACTGGCAGCAGCGAAACAGAGCGAAGTTAGCTAGACCTCGGTCAGGTGCCAGCAGCTTCTGGCTACCAATCACGATACAGTGATGATTGAACACGCACAGACAAGCCCAGATCACCGCGGCCCTGCACTAAATTGGTAGAATAAAGAAGGACAACGAAATGCACTACCTCCTCGCCCGTCTACTCTTGGCACCACGGAACGGTAGTCGTACATCAGGCCGTGCTTGTCTGCTGTCCGATTGAGGATCACATAGGCACGGAGGACCGGAAGCCTTTTGCTCTCTGCATCTTGGAACTGTCATGTGTGCTTCCCAGCAATTCTCGGACCGGTAGCTACGGACAGGGGACATTCTGCATCAATCCAGAACACTATCTAGAGCAAGGAGAGTAATCGTCGAGTGGCTCGCTGTCAGGTTCCAACTGAGCCTCCAATCGCTTGTCCAGCTTTGCCTTGGATGCGGGCATGCTCAACATATCGTATCTTCATCACGACACGGTGCCGTCTTGTTCAATGTTCAGGAAGATCTACTCAAACAGAAGTATCGAATCAAAAGACACCAGAGCAAAAACAAACAGGCTATGTTCCTTACATGCTAGTTGCACTAGATACCGTTAGTTCCAGATTTGTGACGACTGGCACAATGCCCATGTGATGCCGTCACATTGTAGCTTACCCTGAGCTCACCATGAAACTGCACATTTGTAAGAGTTCGCTTGTACTTGCCTTGCCCCGCTTTGCGAGAAGCTGGCTCCCTGCTTTGGGTCTTGAAGCAGTCCCGACGTCCACCGTACCGGCTTCATCGCTCACAGAGAAAGAGGGCCCTGCAGCTGCAAGTGCAACCGCCGAGGAGCCAGTTTTCCCTCAGCCTTGAAGATCGCCTTTTCTTTTCCGTAAGCTTTCCTCGGCTCTGTGTCTGCAATGCCTGCCTCGCAGTGGTCCACCCTTTTTAAACTGCATTGGCAACTGAGGAGCGCAACGTCGATGCCCTGCAACATGCGGCCGCGAGCCTTCAAACTCTCGAGCCTGCAGGAAGCTCCGCGCAAAAAGAACAGATTGTGAATTGAAGGCATTTGAGAACGACTGGAATTCACAGCCGCCAGTGTTCTAGTCGTCCTTGTACTGGCGACAGCTGTGTGTTTTTTTGACTCTCACAATCGTCAAGTCCAGGCGAGGTCTGCATACAAACGCTTCCAACGCAAGCTTGACTACAAGGTTATGCAAAGGTCACAGCTGCGTATTGCTCTTATTCTTGCTCTTTGTGGTCTTCAAATGGCTACTACAACGAGCACTACCAGCTGCTCTTATCACTCAGCATTCCACTCAACTACCGGTTTTGTCACATCATCTCATGACGCGTACGGTTGTGGCTACTTGGCATTTCGACATGTCTTGACTGTGCTCGGGCTGTCCTCCCACCGTAGTCACGCACCAAAGTGATATCTGCCACATGCGGCTCTGGCCTCGGATCGGATGCTGCAGTGGATGGTTCTCCTGCCTCCGTTCCTGCCGAACATCTGTCGCACGTGCTCGCCTCGTGATGCGACCTTCCCGGGCCCGAACTTAGGCCTTCGCTTGCAAAACCTCTGACCTCTGCCATCGCCCTTAACGTTGCTACGGCTATGAGAGCATCTCCCGATCTCACTGTAGCCGAGCATCCCTGGCTTCCCAGCCTGCACAACTCTCATCCGCTCTTCCAAGTGGTTCTTCCTCAGCAGCTGGGGTGTGTAGTGGCTGGACAGCCAACACTTCATGAGAGCATTGCACTCGTTCCACTCGAAGAAGAAACGTCTCACTCTCCTATGCAACCCAAGCTTCAGCAGGCGTTTGTAGTCGGGCTGGTGGTCGATCCTGGCCAATAAATAGCTCTTGTCATACAAGACTGGGAACAGGCATTCGCAACCTTGCAAGATGACTCATGGCACCAGTGGCGCAGACCCTGCCCACAGCTTCCCACTGCCCGTCATCTTTCGCCAGCAGCAAGTCTCCCTGTGTGTGCGTTTGCGCATGTGTGGCGCAGCGGTTAAGCCCAAGCGTTTTTTTCTGACAGCCCAAGTGTTATCGACATCACTGCTTGATCCACTTAGGGCGAATGCTAAACAGGCCCGACCTAGCTTCCTACCCCATCACATGACATGACTGTCACACCCCTCGCTTCAACTCGCTTCGCTCGAGTCCTCGGCGGCAGCTTGTCGATGACAACGGAGAAGTCCTCTGCCGTCGGGCTGCACTGGGTTCAGAGGTCAGCCGCCAAGCCGCCTAGCTGACAGGAGTCCTGGACCGACACGTTCTCAAGGTCATCCGTCAGTGCTCTCCGAGGGATCTCGATGAAGCCTGATTATGAGTCTCAGTTGTGTCAGCTTCAGGCCTGAGACAGCACTACAGAGTCTTGCAGCTCCGAGACGGAATCGCACCAAGTAGACGAACAGAAGGATCCTGACCCAAACCGTCATGCAAGGGCACGTAGTGCAGCAGCGTTCTGTGAGCAAATCGGCCACTGGGCATTTATCGTAACAGCAGGGTTTCTGCGTGCCGTCTGCAGCCTGGTCACATGGAGGCGAGGTCTAGCCAAGCGAAGATGGGTGTCAAGTCCGACAGCTCTGCTCCATCACAGCCTGCCCGGACTATCCGCAACCTCGGGTGATCGGAGCGCATCGGCTGAAGACTGGAGACTCAAACTACGGTTGTTTGTCTACGGGGCGAAAGTTGCGCCCAGCTGCAACGGGTCCAGCACCTTCGAGTCCTTGCAAAGATGCAGCAAGAGCGTGAAACTGTCAGAGGGCCAGGGCAATTCCAAGTCCGCCAACTCAGCCATTACAGATGCACCCACACGGACACAGACCAAATCTCTGCAGCTGCACCTCCATCCGAAACCAACAACCGTGAAATTCGTGCCTGCCAAAATATGTCAATTCCCCTCCTTTGCAACCCCACAGCCCTAAACCTAAGCCCCTTAGGATTTGCTGGTAGAGGTCTGCGAGCAGGCCCAGGTTGCCGATGGAAGCACGAGCCTGGAGCAAGGGAAGCACACCTTTCGCCGATCATGTGCTTACATTTGAAGCATCAGATCAACTAGCAACTGGATCATATAGCACGCCTCCGTCTGGTGATAGTAGCGGCATTATAGATGGACGATAGACTACATCAGCGAGCCGTGTACTTGCCTCAGCCTCCTCATTGGGAGACGACTACTCACTACTCCTTCAGTTACTAGTTGCCGGTTAGTCATTCGCGCATCGCAGTCCTATTCGGCCCCACGAGCGTATCCCATACAATACCCCAGATGCCACCCAAGCTGCCAAGAACTGCCCGTTGTCTGGCGCAAAGGTGCCCAGCAAGCAGAAGGCAGAGGTGGGAAAGGTGAGGGCCGCCTTGGCAGGGCCAGGACCCAAAGTACACTGCACATCCCTTTGGAATCATGTAAACCTCTGTACCAGTCTAATATAGGAACCTGATTAAGAAAGCCTGGGTCTTTGTTAGGGTTGCTTAATATGAATCCTAATATGTTGGGGGTTCTGGGGCCAGGGTTTCTTAACCAGGTTCCTACATTATACCGCTCTTCGCCCAGAAGCCATGGTTGCGAAGAGGATGCCCAAGGTTCGGAGGGTGGTGAAATACATCTCAAGGCCACTTCCACCGATAGCACCTGATTCATGCAGAACCTCCCGAAGAAACAGGGGAACTGTCGACGATCAGCTCACCATGTCTAGCTCAGTTGGGTGCTGAAGTTATCGATGTCCGTGCAGAATGGGTTCAGCCACTTTCCACCCTTAGCTGCTCTGCCTGGCCCTCCGTCTGAAACAGCCCGCCGGGCTTCTCAGTTGGCCTTGCCGCAAGACTCTTACTCCCCAGCCGGGCAGCCACGGTTGCACTGCTAGACCTCAGGTGTTTCATTGACACATATTGGCGCATGGCTAATTAATGTAATTCAAAACGGAGCACTGAGATCACCTTTCACGGAAGAATTTGTTCCGTGCGACGAGGCACACTAAGTGGCGCCTCGCTGAAGCCAGGTCTGGCTCTGTGCGGCGGATATCATCCTAGCAGGGCATCCGCGGGGCCACTGACTGGAGCTTCTCTCTCAAGTCTCGAACACTCAAAGCCGGATCATCCGATCTCAGGATAACGCCTTGACGGTGGATCTTGGCTTCATGCTGCCTTGGTCGAAAGGCGCAAACACAGGTGCGAACCTTCGCAGTTCGGGTGGAATGGACGTAGCTCTCTGGGAGGAAAGGAGAGAAAGTCATCCGGCCTACTTGATTGAGTGCACGTGACGAGGCCGAGCTTTGTCACACCGCGGTGGGGCGACCTAGATGCAGTGGAGCAACTGTCGTCCTCCGTGCCCATCATCTTCCTGCTTGACTTGTTGCCTGGGGGTACACGAGCAGGCTGGGGCTGTCTAGATATTACCTGTGGGTGAGATCACATGCATGCCGGGCTGCACCAGACCATGGGAACAATAATGAGCGAGACGAGCCCAAGTGCTGTCGCAGAAGAGATAATCCAGACCTGAGCCGACTTGTTAATAAGCACGCTTGCCCTTGCGCGATGCCTCTCACCACCAGCAAGGATCCACGGCTAAGCCTGCGGCTCGAGCAAAGTTACCACCTGTACCACCCAGTGTGATGTCACCGCAATCCGCCTGTGCCAAAACTTGGCTAAGCCCGACAGAATTCCGACACGCATACGCAAGTGAAAAACATCCAGCCACACATCAGCAGTTTCTGCGGTCACAGCAAACCAGTCCCCTTGTCGTGCCGCAGCTCTGATGCATCTTGACAACCTTGCGCACCTCTTCGGCCCAGGTCTCTATGGCCAGGGTTCCATTGATTCGACCGGTCTTGTTCAGCCATATGGCCAGAGCTGCCGCCATGGCTACACACAGCAGCTCGGAGGGCAGTCGCTAGACAAGCTGGCAAAGTCACGTGGTACTAGCTGATCTTCCACTGAAGGCCCCGCGGCCGAACAGAAGCCCCCGCTACCGCGAGCTTGGGACGAGCACCCTGCGCAGCTGGCAGTTTCTCGTCTGATACTGAACAGCTGCGAGATACTCCGAAGTCTGCCGAGTTTAAGTCGCAAGCACTCCGGGGGTCGATTTGAACTTGAGTCACTCTTTTACGTGTTAGGCGGCTTGAATCTGCGGCCATTGCAAGGGGCCCCAAGACTCCAAAGGCGTCCACGGCGGGACAGGCGAGATGGTCTTCGAGGGCTGAAACGGTGCTGAAGCAAGAGTCTGAAAAACACGAGCTGCGCACGCGGGCTTAAAAGACAGTGACATCTTCAAGAACTTCCCAGCATGGGATCGAAGGTAGACCAGGCCGAAGAGGCTTCACTCCAATCTTGAATCCCATGTTGGGGCCAGAAAGGCTTGAGGCCTTGCTTGGAAAAATGAAAGCCTGAGTCATCGAGCAACTGCAACTTACACGCAGCTGGCACAGCTCCAGGCCTGCGACTTTGGCAGGCATTGGCGAACCCCCTTGCCCCCCCCCGTACAACTGCTGTTCTACTTAACATAATAGCTGGAATGAGGACACCCCGCAGGGGGGTAAAACTGAACACTTGAGCAACGCCATTACAAGCACATATAACTTTCCGATACAAGCCACTTGCGCGGACATATTAAGAACCGCTTTACGTCTATTTACTTTATTGATACGCTCATAAGCACTTACTACCAGCTGGGCAATGCGTGCGCCTGTAGGCAAGGTATATTCATGCACAAGCGCAAATGTAGGACGAAGGACTGGGCCTTGTACAGCTAGCTGGGTAGCAAATAGCTTTGATCATGGCGAAAACAGTGAGTAGTATATTTGGGGACTATTGTGCTCTTTACAGTTTTTGCCCAATATAACATTCAATTCTTGAAGAAAATGGTCGTGATTGACGCGTTCGAAAGGTTTTCCAAGGGGGGAGAAGAGAGGGTATTCGAAAAGGGTCTCTTTGGGAAGCAGAGAAGCCCTTGAGTACCTGGCCTCGACGCTCAGCGCGAGGCCAAGCCCGCTGCTCAAGGTAGTCTTTCATGACCAGGCTCCTAATGCGCCTAAGACCAGCTTTGCCAACCAGCAGCTCAGCAAAGGGCTGCCAGCTCTTGCAGCCCGTAGTACAGGCCGGTGACTGCCCCAAGTGTCCCCACCAGCAAACAAAGGAAGTCGAGAATCCACTCCTTAACGACGTGGAAGCAGCTTTAGCCCCGGAGAGCACACGCGTGTGGCATAGCTCGGATATCTTCATAGCTCTCCAAGGCTCGTAGCAGGGCACTCTCATGCCCTGCTGCCGCTGGATCGCCACAGAGAAGACCACCGGAAGGATGAAAACGGTGCCCTGCTCTGGCGAAACATGACTTCTCTTGGCTCGGGCATCCCGGAGCTGTTCAGACTTCGATTTTTCATGACGTAGCTCCAGGTCGAGCCCAAAGCCAACTACCAAAGCCAGCACACACAAAGCCGGAAAGATTCTAAATTCAAGCAACCACCAAACGCCTGCATCACCCACAGGTTACTGTGCTAGGAACCTGTAAATCTACTCCTTACCTTCGGTCAGGACTTCGAGACAGTATAATCTTAGACTCCACGACGCACAATATGGCCTGGCCAGCAATGGCGGCAACCACGTCCAGCAAGGCACCAAAAAAAGGCAAGGTGTAGGCCAGGACGGTGCACAAGCCCAGAAACCTGTCTACAGCATGCGAATTCAATGTTTGACATTTTCAGCGACTGTATGATTGTAACAGCCACGTAGCAGGAGGCGCGGCAGTCGCATGATCAGGCCACGCAATCCGGGCTTCAAGGCACCTGATCGGGTGCCCAGCATCGCCTGACAGCATGCCGAACTGCGGAACTTGGAGCATGAAGTGGAGATCCACGCAGGCTCTGAAAGACCATCTTGCAGCTTTCATTCCCCGCCCCAGGCCTCCAGGGTCTCCGCCCCCGTGTGGAAAGGAACAGGAAACGCAAGCAGCACCTGGCTTCGAAAGAGTTCCAGGTCCTTGCAATGCCCTTCAAAAAGTCGATGAGAGCCCCGTGAAAACCACAAGGTAGAAAAGGTTCGATGGACAACGGCGACAGCCCCTGCTTCAGTTCTGCAACTAAGGTGCATGAAGTGTGATGGCACTGTATGCCAGCAGCAGGCTCCAACTCACAGTCTCCACCTGGGCTTGTTTCGCAAGGACCCCAAACAACACATACTTGAACCAAGTGCACGGGATGTAGGAAACTCTTTCCCGACACCATTGAGACCACAAGGGGATCGGGGGAGAGCAGAAATAGGCTAAATAGGCTCAACACCAAGGCATATTTTGAAGTGTTAGTTCAGGTACAGCCAGCTAACAACATGAGCATGCATGCGAAAGCATGCCAGGCACCCACCTGGTCGGACGGACAGCCGGAAAGTCCAACAAGCACGTTCGAGTCCACCTACGCGGTCACCGAGTTTCAGTGCAAACATGACACTGGCATACTCTGGCCTGCCATGCTGGCTCTCTCACAACAACCTATGCACGACGCGCAATTGGCCTTCCGGCTTGCCATCGCCACCCCGCCCACGGAGAAGCCAGCTGCTGCCACAGCCACGTAAATCACGATGATGAATCTCGGTCATTTATCCACGACACGCACATTGCGCTGCAAAATGCTCTATCCCGAGACGCCAAACCTGCAGAAACGTAGG